GTTGTTTTTAGGAGTTATAGAATGGGGAGATAGTGAAGTGGGTGAAGGGGGTCAAAAGGTGCAAACGTGTGGTTATAAAATATATATGTTATGGGGATCTAGCGTATAGCATGGCCACTATAGCTACTAACAATGGTTGTATATTTGAAATTTGCAAAGAGAAATTTGCCAAGTAAAGGCTCTTACCACAAGAAAAAAAATATAACTATGTACAGTGACATATAACTAGACTTGTGATGATCATTTCACAATACATACCCATATTGAATCATATTATATGCCTGAAACCAACACAATATTATATTTCAATTATATCTCAATTTTTTAAGAAGTACGTAAGTACTCTTTCAAAATTTTACATTATATGAGTGTTATCTGTAAGCATGGATGGAAGTGTTATCAAAACATTGTAATAATGGGGCACCTGGGTGGCTCAGTGGGTTAAAGCCTCTGCCTTCAGCTCAGGTTATGATCCCAGGGTCCTGGGATCGAGCCCCACATCAGGCTCTCTGCTCAGCAGGGAGCCTGCTTCCTCCTCTCTCTCTGCCTGCCTCTCTGCCTACTTGTGATCTCTGTCTGTCAAATAAATAAATAAAATCTTTTAAAAAAAAAAAAAAAACACTGTAATAATGGATTTAGACAATTTAAAACAATTTCTGTACCACTTCCTGAACTTAGTTCAGTTGTGTGAACACATGACCCTTCTAATAAAACTCTATAGCAAAAATTCAGGAAAATGGGGCGCCCAGGTGGCTCAGTGGGTTAAAGCCTCTGCCTTCAGCTCAGGTCATGATCCCAGGGACCTGGGATCGAGCCCCACATCGGGCTCTCTGCTCAGCAGGGAGCCTGTTTCCCCAGCTCTCTCTCTGCCTGCCTCTCTGCCTACTTGTGATCTCTGTCTGTCAAATAAATAAATAAAATCTTAAAAAAAAAAAAGTTCAGGAAACTTAGTTTCATTAAAAAAAAATAATAACTGATAACTCTCTATTAGATGTAATTCCATGCATTTTATTTCTATATGTAAAGGTAGTCTGAATTAATTTTTTTTCTGGATTTAAAAGATATATATGGAGGTTTTTTACCCCATACCCTTGTTTATTTTTGCCAGCTTGAGAAGAAATACTATTAGTGCATGGATATAGAGTCTGAACATCTTACATTCAAATACTGGCTCCTCTTTTACTTGTGTGATCCAACACAAAGTACCTGAGTTTAACTGCCCTCATTTTGCAGGCCTCATGTGAAGACAAACTGTCACAACATATGTAAAGAATCAAGAGCGTTTGGCACATAGAAGTAATTCAAGTAATTGCTACCAGAGAAAAAAATTAAAATTATTCTATCATTTCATAAATAGGCAGTATAACTGTATGTCTGTACCTCCAGATATAACTTGATATTAATCCCCCCAAAAAAGTTCTGAAAGTTTTAAAATCTCTTAATGTAATAATGCTCCCTAAACTTCAGATACAACAACATATTCTTTGTATTATTGCTTACCTATTATTTTTCCAAATCATCCTTTTTTTCCTTCTACCCTGACCTAGAACAATATTTAGATATCACAGTTCTATTTTAAAAATATAAGCAGAAAAATAAAATCATAGGGATTAATTTAAAGATTATCACTGACCTCTTAGAATCATCCTGTGTCTGGCCAGTGGTAGTGGACCTCACTATACCTATCATTGTTTTGAAGTTACATAATAATGTATGTCTATCTACAGATTATTTCCTAATATAAATTCCTAACAACATGAAATTTTTTCAGTAGTTTACAAAGCAAGTAGATTTAGAAACATTCAATATGTTAAAAAAAAAAAAAATCTAGGTTACTGATTAAAAGTTAAGTGCAGGACCTAACAGGAGCTTATGATTCCCAAAAGCTTCTAAAATTCACGAATAAATATGGGTATTTCAAGTCAACTAATATAATGGGTTCATTAGTTTCAGGCTTTTGTTATAAAACATCTTTAAGAGTAACTGATGATATGAAATGTGATTATTGCCTACTATCACCACAAAGGAGTGATATCACATTAAGCTTACTGAGCAAAGTACATTCCTTTTTTCTTTCAGAATTGAAACAGGGCAAGGAGCAATTTCTGTGTATCAGACAAAACTATGTAAAGAAAATAGCATATATATCTTAAAAGAAAAACTTTTCATCAGATAGTCTCTAAATGGTCCATGAGAAAATTGGCTTCTTTCCTAACCATGTAAAAAACAGAAAAAAACAAAACCAAAAACAAAAGTTTGCTCCTAGGGACATAGGATATCAGACATATTTATGATATTATGGGTAGTAAAATATCTATCTTGATGCATTTTATTAACAATTGATTAAAATGAGTGAAGAATTCACCTCTTCTGAAGTATATATAGTATCAGAATTCTATCAATCACATGGGTTTTATAATCCAATACTTTAAAATCATTGCAACATTTCTTATGGGATTTAAGCCTCTCTATCTGAGCTAACAGTTAAGTGTAGTTTAAAAAAACTGCCATATTAGTAAATATATTCTGGAACTGTATATGGCATTTATGCCACATGTCATTTATAAATAAGAAAAAAAATTTATCTTGTTAATAACTACTTCTCCAGCAAGGATTTTTCATTTGGGTTTGGGGAGGTCTGTCCTTGCCATAATAGCTCAAATATACAACCACAGAGGAAGTTATAAGATACAGGTTTTAAATTACATGTACAGTGTATTTGTCTAATTGAATAAATTTCTCTTCTCAGCAAAAAGTAAGCCTAGATAGATAGATTTCCCTTTTCTTTCAACCCATGCCAGATATCACCAGGAGGTAGGTAACCTTAAACCACGGGCTCTGGGTAAGAAAGAGAAAAATAAGCTTAGTGAAGAAGCATGGGTTGTTCAGTTTACCTTCCCCTCTGAAAAACTGTGGAGAATGGGCACCAAAAGAAAATTCCCATCCCATATTGCAAGACAAGGTGTCCCTTTGAACATGTTACTTTCAGATGCAAAAAAAAAAAAAAAAAAAAAAAAACATTTTTGCAAATTTATCAAACTGATAACTTCATTTTTCATAAAATAAAAATGTCATTAATCAGTAATAAAGTAACAACACATTATTCAGATGAAGCAGACATGGGGAAAGCATTTATGGAAGTATCTATACTCATTCAAGTAAAAAAAGAAAAAAGAATTATTTCCAGAAAAATGGTAGTATATACATGGTAAAGCATGAAACAGTAGAGCATGAGAATCTGGGACTGTACAAACTGGAGGTGTTCCCCCCACTGAAAGCATTCCTGTTAAAAAAGAGAAAATTAAACCCTATGCAAATCAACACAAAACTCATGCTGATCTAATTTAGATCATAGCCCAAGAGACTGAGATCCTGGTGTTACAAAGTCCAAAACAAGGTAAATGTAGGAACAGGAAGTTAAAAGTGAGCTCATCCTATCTACCTTCCCTTAAAAATCTAGATTTTGTTTATTTTCATTCATCTTTTCATTTTTTTCTATCTGTTCTTTTAGACTTAGCCTACAAAAGATTTAGATGCAACCAGAACATAAACACATATTAAAAATTAAGTTGTGGGCACCTGGGTGGCTCAGTTGGTTAAGCAGCTGCCTTTGGCTCAGGTCATGATCCTGGAGTCCCAGGATCAAGTCCCACATCAGACCCTCTGCTCATCAGGGAGCCGGCTTCTCCCTCTGCCCCTCACCCCTTTCATGCTCTCTCTCTCTCTCTCAAATAAATAAAATCTTTAAAAAAAAAAAAAAATTAAGTTGTCAAACCAGTTTGATACTATCAATATAACACCATATTCATTAAACTAAGTAGTAAACATCTTATTATGCCTGGTCCCTTCCTACATGGACTTGATCCTTCTCTAAATGAGTCCAACACCGGAGTCCCTGGCAAAGGAAGTGTCTTACTGCTCTTGCCAGTCTCCCCCATGTTTCCCTCAAGAGAAGACACATAACCCCAGAAAGGTCATCCAGAGACCTTTCCTAGGATTAACAGAGACACCAATGCAACTCCTTCTGAGTTTGAAAAGAGTCAGAATATTACAAAGGTGTATGATTTTTTCATCTTTTCAATTGATATAGACAGAGTCCTACAAAGAATGGAGTGAACCCAAAAGAAATCACAGACACAAAATATAGAAAAATCTCTGAAACAAAAACACTGCCTCTAATTATGCCTACATTTAGTCAACCCCAGGAATTTTCAGTACAGGAGTTAATAAATTCTCTTTTGTGTTGAAGCAAAGTTAGAACAAGTTTCTATTACTTGCAAACAAACAAACAAAAATGTCATAAATATAAGAGACAAAGAAGAGATTCAGGTTTTGCCTGTTTCCGTTAATATCTTGCTGTACCCCCCAGGGCTTTCCAGCCAAAGAACCGCAGATTTTTCCTAGGGATTTTTCTAACCTGACATACATAAATACTCTAAATTATCCCATTATCCTAACTTAATTACCAGTACCTTTGGAGGAGGGAAGAGGTGGGAGGTGAAGGTGGAACCACATCATCTATTGATAACTCCCCAGATTTAGTACATGTTCTATATCTACTCTGACACAAACAGTTCTTTATTAGAGGATTACATCTATTCTTAATCATGAAAATACTAATTATATGAAGTATTATACATACCAACCTGTTTTTCTGATCCCAACTAAGTATTAATGGAACTTAAAACAAATGAACAAACAAAAAAAACAAAAAACTACAAGCATTTAACCAATTGTTATATGACATAGTACATCAAAAAACAAAAAACAAAAAACAAAACCCTCAACCACACTACATCAATATGCACAGATATTGACGCAGAAGCCCCAAACAAAGAAATCACAAATACTATTCACCTACTATTCTCACGGGTATGATTAATGAAAAGACTATTTCAGAAAAACAGCCATCATCATTTCCATTTCCAGCAGTTAAATCAATAGTCTCTCGCCACAGGTTTCAAAGATGAACCAAACCAGAGAAAGTAATGCATACTCACAAATTATAAAGCATGTCAGCCATGTTGCTGCGGTAGTACAAAGCATTTCTATAGGCGCTTTCAGCTTCAGAAATTTTGCTCTGACTCTTCAGAACATTTCCAAGGTTACCCCATGCTGCCAAGAAGAGAAAGAAGTATTCAGGCTGAGCGTCAATCCAATTACACATGACATAATATCAGGCCATCAGGAAGTACCACAGTGAGAGAAAACCTTCATAAAACATTTTGAAGAAGGAAAATTTATTTCCTTTATACTCCAACATTTCATCAAGCCAGGAGATTAAATACAATCAAAGTCTTAAAAAAATTAAAGTAATTATTATGTCTCAAAGCTGATATACATATGCAGTTCATCATAAGGCCAAGAATAATGTTATCTTAAGCTCACCTACAAAGACTTCAGGCTCTTTCAAATTTCGGTAGGGGTCTTCCTGGCCTGAAATTATTGTATACTTACTGAACGAGAAACTGTAAGAAATCATCTTAAAGTAAGCAAAGATTTCATTCAAACATGATAAAATTGATAAATGACGTGGAAGAACAGGATAAAAAGCAAGATAACTAAGATCAAAGCAATAAAGAGGCTTAATAATTAATCAGAACATATTGGTAAAACACTGTATTCCTTAAAGTGGTTAAATACACATGGTTTGTTCAGATATAATATTCTTTTATACCTTCCCTTCTAATAAATCTATTTGTAGGAAAACCACTGTCTCATTATTTTCATACATAATATTTATTTTTCTTAAAGATTTTATTTATTTATTTATTTGAAAGAGAGAGAGAGAGGGGAGAGGATATGGGTGCACAAGCGGGCAGGAGGGGCAGAGGGAGAGGGAGAAGCAGACTCCCCGCTGAGCAGGGAGTATGATACAGGGCTCGATCCCAGGACCCTGAGATCATGACCTGAGCCGAAGTCAGACACCTAACTGACTGAGCCACCCAGGAACTGCCATACATAGTGTTTAAATAAAATCTGTAATTTCTGTATGCTCTTAATCTTTCACCTCAAGTAATGATGATTTGTCAACATTCAAAAGACCAAAGATGCACTGTCAACACTGTCTGTATAGAATGCCTCTCAAGCTGACCTGGTCCTCCAACTTGGATACTTGTATTATCTTTCTTCCTTACCACAAGGACATGGGGTGTGGAGTCCTGAAATTGGAATCCTTCCCAGGTAGAAGACAAGGATGAGAAGAAGGCTTATGTGCATCAAGGTATATTAACTTGGGTAATTACTGACTATATCTGAGGAATGAAGGGGTTTGGGTGTACCCATTTTTAATGCATAAAAAGGTGTATAATCTTGCAAAGGCAAAGTCGCCGGTGCGCCCTGCTAATTTAACACTGTGCCTTAATTTACTCATCTGTAAAACAGGAAAAATAATTCGTATTTCATGGGTTTTGTGGTGAGGATTAAATGAGTTAATGTATGTAAGGTGTTAAGACAGTGCCTGTCATATGGCGAGCACTCAACAAATATTTGCTATTATCATTAATATTATTGTGATTGATACTTTTTGTAATTTATAATGTCAAGCTCTGCTTATAGAAATAATATCAAATATAATGCACTTTATGGCCTTATATCATCTACAGAGAGTAATAATTTTCTATATTTGGAAAGTCATATACCTCCTTTTTCCTCTGATGGAAAACAGAAGGAAAGCACTGCTCGTACAATTATTCATCACCTAATAACATCACATACGACACCACACTCCTGAAATGGATCGTCTCGCTGAGCTCTGAACCCAGTCCTATACATAAATACTCTGTCCACTCTGTGAGTGAGGAAAACAGACTCAGAGACACTAAAGAACTTGCAAAGTTAATACAAAAGTATCAGAGCAGGAATTCCAATCCAAGTCTGGTGGCTTCCAAACTTTTACCACCGTCCACCTAGCATTTTCAAACCACATGTCATCTTTCACCACAAACCAATATTCACACACTACAAATCAGACCTTGGCATTATAAATCCATGAAAAACTGAATCCATGAAGTGAAAGATGAAACTTAGTTTTAAAATATGGTCAAATTAGCTTAAAATATTCTCAAATTCAAATACTAAATTTAATAACAGGAAATACAAAATGGTAGGAAAAGCATATAGTAAATTATAATTATCTTCAAATTTAATAAGGTTAATATCACACATATTTTATATCTAACCCTTCCTCCCCTGCCACCAACATTACCAAATAAATGAAGTATGGCTCTGTGGAAACTTCTAACAGCCAAGCTGTTTTCAACACACTTCACCTCTCCCAAAGTTCTGCTCTGATTATGGCATTAGTAAATGAAATTCTATTTACACTGGAATCACTCCAGAGAAATGCCTCCAAATATTAATTGAAGCACCAGGAAAACACCATTATAGTACTATCTCATCTAGCCCAGAGTCTTAGAATACAGACACTGAAAAAAAACAGAGCAAAGAACTGCTTTGAAAATTTTAAGGCCTATTTCCAGAGAAACAGATTGACATTTTTCTCAGGTACTTACATATCAGTGAAATATTAAGCTAATAAGTGTCTCTTTAATAGTCAACAGACAGAGTTATGTTTAGAATATATGTTTACTGAGTTGGTTATTCATTTGTTCACTCATCTACATATGCAATTCTTAAACCAGTATTTGCTAAGCACGTGTTTGGTGTGGAGAACCTGATAATGGACCAGGCACCTGGACCTGCACGTACATGCAAGTTCTCACCCACACAGAGCTCATGTTTGAAGTGGGAAGTGGAGGGGTGCCTGGGTGGCTCAGTGGGTTAAAGCCTCTGCCTTCAACTCGGGTCGTGATCTCGGAGTCCTGGGATCGAGCCCCACATCGGGCTCTCTGCTCAGCAGGGAGCTTGCTTCCCCCTCTCTCTCTGCCTGCCTCTCTGCCTACTTGTGATCTCTCTCTCTCTCTGTCAAATGGATGGGATCTTTAAAAAAGAAAAAAAAGAAAAAAAAAAGAAAATGAAGTGGGAAGTGGAGTGGGGAAGGAAGAACCAACCACACAACAGAGTAAATGAGTTAACTGAGATAATGGTAAGTGCTCATGATAACTGTTAACAAAATAGCCATGTAAGATGGAGGGGTTGAGGTGAATTTATACAGAGATTATCTTAGAAAGGAGGAAATGGAGGTGATGTCTAAGGAGGGAAAGATAAGGGAGCCAGCCTTGCAAAGACTGGTGAATCCAGCTAAGGGGAAGAGTAAAAGCAAAGGACTGAAGGTGGCCCCCACTGGGACAGGCAGCAGGGGAGATGATTACTTCAAAGTGAGAACACAACCCAGAATTAAAAATCCTTGGCAAGGTTATCTGAGGCAAAGCCACAATGTGATGACAAGTTTCTTGTTTTTTGCGCGGCTAGAAGTCTCTCACATCCTTATGATTCAGTCATTGCCCTGGGTGCCTGGGAAATGAAAAATGAAAATTCCCAAATTAAGAATATATGTTTAAAACAATTTTACCTACTTACAGATGAAAGAGGAAGGAAGGGAGAAAGCAGGGGGGAGAAGAAGGATAGACTTTGATGTCCTGAACTCAGACACTCACAATCAGGCTACTTTTTTTTTTTTTTTTTTTTTTAATTGTCCCTACACATTCTTACAGAATACCAATTTGAGACAAGGTTATTTTGAATCCATTATAAGTGAGACAAAGCAAGATTACTTCGTAATTTTACCAAACACAAAAAAGAAAAAGGCTGCAGTAAACCCACAAAATACCAAACATCCCTCTCTCTTGCTAAATGAATGACTTCTTTATCCAGTCACAGAATTGCTCTAGCATCCAACCTAGAGAACAGTCCTGCTCCTTTAGACCCTCTTCCAAATCACCCAACCTAAATTCAAATCTTATGATATAACCTCAGGATCCCCACAGTGTAATGTTCCCTCAATCAGAGTAGTAATTAAGCCAAATTCTTTACTATCAATATGTTCCTGAATTTCTTTGGCGGAAAGACATTGATGGAGGATTTCATCATACTCAAATATGAAAACAATTCCTTTTCAATATCTTCCCTGCCTTGTTCTTTTTCCTCATGCTCTTTTATTACCTTCCTACCAGTCTACTCTTTCAGTGTTTTGAAGGAGAACACAGGCAGATTGTGACTCCCAGGCATCCAGCAAAGTAGGCAGGTCACTCTGAGGGCCACCTTCACCAGCTCAATAATTCATCTCACATTGGCCGTGAACATTCTGGTATCATGCCCAATTATTGTTCTCCTTACTCGTAAGTTTAAGGCATCAAAATCCCTTTTCTCTTATAATTCTTCACAAAATAGAATATTGTATTTACCAAAATAAATTTTGGGTTTTATTTTTTCATTTAAGGTAAGAGCTGCCAAAACTTACACTAAAATTGTTGTACCCTTGTTTTGTTTTGTTTTCTTTTGTTTTTTGGTATGAAAACTGCTGTCACTATTCTAATTTAAATGTGATTGATTCTTGCATCAAGGCTACAAAAGCTCAATGTTAACATAAACATCACTTCTAAAAATATAAAAGTGCCCTACAGAATTCTGACCTAAATTTTAAAATGCCATTAGCTGTCAACTAAATACTAATTCTTTTCATAGAAGCTATTCATTTAACATTTTTCAATGATAAAACAAAAGTGCAAAAAATCATTGAATTAAAAAACCACTGAAGATTTAGCTACCGCAGATATGGTTGAGAGGAAAACACATTAATCGGAACTATAAAAAGTACATTTTAAAGGTTAATGTTATGATTTCACATCTATATAATTATCCTATAGAATTAATCAGTGCAGCTATAGTTTTTTTTCTATTACTTAAATTTGATCACATCAACCAAGTCAACTTTTTTATATCAGATCAATTTTTAAATCTAGCTAGTCTGACTATTTGGAAGTATCCAAGCCAAAAACTTGAAAAATACAGAGAAATTTCCCAAGGCTCATTGGTGGGACAATTTAACATTATAAAGATGTCAAATCTCCAAAATTAATCTATAAATTCTATGTAATTTCAATCAATACTTTCACATTGTTTATTAATAAACTCAAATTTTTTCTAAGTATAATATAAGAGAAATAAAAAACTTGATTTTTATACCATAGTTACCATATACAAAGGTAAGTTCC